ATTCAGTAAAGATTAGTGCTTAAAATGCCAATACAATGCAGTACTTAAACCTCATAATCGAATATGTATAAAGTTTTCAGAAAAACAGAACTACCTCCTTCAATAAGCTGGCTACGGGCCTGTAATATTATGTACATAACTCGTGTTACCTGTAATGCGTTACCCCCATCACGTCACGATTTTCCTCATAGCTGGCTACAATTTAACAAAAACATTTTTAAACGAATAGGAAAAACATTTCCAGATGCAGCAAAAAAGACCAAGCAATAAAAAACATTATTGATAAAGCCGTCTGAACGTTAGACACCTTCTTTTATTATGCTTGAGGTAATGTCGTTTTTTCTTTTCATTGTCACAGAGCACACTTGCAGCGTTAATTGAGTGTTACAAGTACAATTTCAATTTTTTTTTCCATCACCCAACCCACAAACCTGCTGGATGGGTTACAGTCTTTGTTCCGGGACTCCATAATTCACACATGAAGCGCTGCTCTCTGTCTCAGTCTTACTCCCAAAACATCATTGACTAACTGCTCGGGCCTTTTATGGAGCGCACACCCACTACTATTCTCTCCCTGATGTTTCTCTTCTGTCCGCACGCCTCCTTCCCTGACTGTCGCACATCAAGCAGAAGACCAAAGACAACTTTTACTAATATTAGTGCTTACTTGGCGAGCTCTTCCCGTCTGTCTCAAATCATGTCAGTGGAAACTCACTAAATTATGAAACTCAATATGCCTTTTTGAAACTTTAGTGTGGAAGCGTAGATATTTCCTAAGGTTAAAACTTGGAAATATAGTTTGAATATTGAGAATATGTCATATAAAAGAAGATTCTAGCTACAGTTGAAACCAGAAGTTTACATACACTGTATAAAAAGGCACATAACCATTTAAAAATAAGTCAGATGTTAATATGACTAAACTTTTTCTCTTTTAGGTAAGTTAGGATTATCAAATGTGTTTTTGTTATGCTTCAGCAGAATAATGAGAGAGATGTTTTTAAGGAAATTGTTAACTTTTCTTGAAAGTCAAGTTTACATACAATAAGATTATTCTGCCTCTGAAAAAGCTCAGATGATGATGTCAAGGTTTTGGAAGTTTCTGATTGGCTAATTGACAACATTTAAGTTAATTGGAGGCACAACTGTAGAATAGTATATAAGGAAAATCTCGAACACACTGCTTCCTTGTGTGACAACATGGGAAAATCAAGAAGCCAGAATCAACAACAAAGCCAGATTACCATTAGCTAAATCACACTGGAAAAAGACTAATGTTTGGAGACATGTCCTGTGCTCTGATGGAGCTAAGATTGAACTGTTTGGCCATATGACCAGTGTTACATTTGGAGGACAAAGGGGAAAGCTTAGGAACACCATCCCAACTGTGAAGTATGGGGGCGGCAGCATCTTGTTGTGGGGCTGTTTTGCTGCAGAGGGGACTGGTCCACTTCACAGCATAGATAGCATCATGAAGAAAGAACATTATGTAGAAATACTGAAGCAACATCTCAAGACATCAGCCAAGAAATCAAACCTTTGCCACAAATGGGTCTTCCAAACAGACTATGACCCTAAGCATCCTGTCAAATTAGTTAAAATGTGTTTTAAGGACAACAGAGTGAATATTTTGGAGTGGCCATCACAAAGCCCTGATCTCAGTCCTATTGAAAATTTGTGGGCAGAGTTGAAAAAGCTTGTTTGAGCAAAACAGCCAACAAATCCAACTCGGTTACATCAATTCTGTCAGGAGGAATGGGCCAAAATTCCTTCAAACTATTGTGGAAGAATACCCAAAACATTTGACCAAAGTTATACAGTTTAAAAGCAAAGCTAAAAAAAAAACTAAGGAAATGTGTGTAAACTTTTTACTTTCTAAAAAAATTCTCCCATTATTCTGGAATTTAGCAAATAAAATCATTTAGGTAATCTTCGCACCTAAAATATTAAACATTTAGTATGATATACCATCAGACATTTTTTTTTTTAAATGGTTATGTTCCTTTTTTTAGAGTGTATCTAAACTTCTGGTTTCAACTGTATATTGCTCAGTCTCGGTCACAAACCAAGTATTAGATCTGGCATGAATCATTGAAACGTGTTTGGCAAACTCATTGGTTATTTATTAAGAGAATATTTGGTTTCACCAACACACATTGCTGCAATTGCAGCATCAAGTTTCTTATAAACAGTACACTCGTGTCAGGGTAAAGTTCCAGACACACTTACACACACACGCGCAAAAAAAAAAAAAAAAGTCCGAGCCCTGCTCTTACATAGAAATACACAGCACACAATGTCATTTTGATGCATGAAAAAATTGTGCAGTTTCACAGGTCTTCACAGTTGATTTTGAACAAATGACAAGTTTTAAAATCATCAAACCTTGTAATTACTGAAGCGAGTCCTGTGTTTGAGGATTTTAACAATGGTCTAGCCAACAATAAATGCCTTCTAATAATAGCAACACTGGCTTGTACTTGCGAGAGTTAATTCATTGGGTTTTGAGTGATTGTGCTGTATACATATTGCAGATACACTGCCAAACGGAGAGGCAGAGTTTACTGTGCATTAAAGGGATCGTTCACCCTGCCACCCAAAAATAAATAAATTTACCTCAATTATTTTATTATTTGGTTTTTCAAAGATGTTTGTAAAATGCCTCAATGTTTGTTATGTGTCTGTAGAATGAAAATCTCTGTCGACCAATGTATTTTGTACCCCGTTAACTTTCATAACATGAACAAAATGTTTACTTTTGTGTTTCGCAGAAGAGAGAAAGTGATACGTTTGGAACACCATGAGGGTAAGTACATGATAACTCCAACATTCCAATCAAGTCATTTTTAATGCAAATGCATTTTCTTAAAGAAAATTCCAATCACATTTGTTACCCCATGAGTGTCTTTATGGGTTATTTAGTGTAAATAAGTGCTTACATATGTGCCATTTACAGGGATTTTTATACTCTTTTATTTGTATACAGTTGAAGTCAGAATTATTAGCTCCCTTTGATTTTTCTAAATATTTTCCAAATTATGTTTAACAGAGCAAGGAAATTTTCTGGTAAATTTGTCTGGTAATATTTGTTCTTCTGGAGAAAGTCTTATTTGTTTTATTTCGGCTAGAATAAATGCAGTTTCTAATTTTTAAAAACCATTTTAAGGTCAAAATTACAAGCCCCTTTTTTTCCGATAGTCTACAGCAGTGGTTCTCAAACTTTTTTGACAAAGTACCATCTCAGGAAAAAATTGTCTCTCCAAGTACCACCATAATGACCAGTATTAAAATACAGTAGCATAGCAGGCCTAATAGGGTATATGCCGAGCTAGTGCTGTTCCCATGCTGATACACTTCCGGTGACCTGTTATTGTGAACTTTTTTCCATTTTATACGGTTCCTTTTACAGTATCGATGCTGTAATGTCATTAAAATACATTCAGTTAAATAAACTTTAGCATTTATTTGGTTGCTCAAGCGTAAAACAAGACAAAAAGCTGTTTACTCGCACGCGCCCGTCAGAATCGGCAGGCTAACGCAGAAGCTCCATTTAATATACTGGAGTAAAATAAATGCTCATATTATAAAGACATGGCGGGGAAATGTAATTTAATGCAGTGCTTCTGTTACAATCTGAGTCCCACTTTAAATCGGATATCACTCAGCCAGTGGAGATTGCTGATTTTTAAAGAAAACAGACCTTAAACGCACCGGATTTTGCATTGACTTTCAATTCGCCAGAAGCGCTTAACCTAGGTTACTGGCAAATTAAAAGTCCTATTAGCATGCTTCGGCATATACCCCATTATGCAGCTAAAGCTCTGCACAGTTCAAAAACAAGGCAGATGAGTTCCTATTATTAAGAATATTTATTATTGTCAGCCACTTTAAACATTATAAATAGTTTGAACATTAACTGTGCTTAAATGTAAAAATAATAATATTTAAATTAAAATGTGCTTCTAAAAGTGAATTAAAATTTCACTAGTCTTAAAAAGTCAAAATAAAACTGCTGTACTTAAATGTAAATTATAGTAGCTTATTCATCAAAAATCATCTGGAAATTTTCCTTGGACCTCACAAATATAAGCTATATGTGATCATATACTTATTTGTAATTCTTTGAAATCTAAACATTAACTTGTGTTTTAAATATATGATTTGGATTTACATATTTAAATTACATCTGCTTACTGCGTGTTATAATAGGCTTTGTGTGTCAGAAAAGCAAGTCATTAAACCATACCTGTCAACACTGGGATATAAAAAATACAGGACACGCCCCCAACAATCGTTACAAATATGGGGAGGAAATTAGCTTCAAATGATAGAATACATAACATTAGAAAATTGAAAATAAAATACAAGGTTTAGCCTATTAAAATCAATTTATTGATCACATCGGTGTGATCGTATGCGTAAAAGGGTTAAAAGCGTGTTAATTATTTTTACTTTATTTATTCAGGGATTCCTCCGAGTACCACTGGAAGGACCACTGTAAATAAGTGTTTACATGTGTGCCACGTACAACAAGTTTGAGAACCACTGATCTACAGGACAAACCATCGTCATACAATAACACTAACCTGCCTAGTTAACCTAATTAACCTAGTTAAGCCTTTAAATGTCACTTTAAGCTGAATAAAAGTGTCTTGAAAAATATCTAGTCAAATAATATTTACTGTCATCATGGCAAAGATAAAATAAACCAGCCATTGGAAATTAGCTATTAAAACTATTGTGTTTAGAAATGTGTTGAGCAAAATCTGCTCTCCCTTAAACAGAAATTGGAGAAAAATATAAACAGAGGGCTAATAATTCTGGCTTCAACTGTATATACTCTCCAGTTCATCTATGGCTTAGGTCTCAAACTCAATTCCTGGTGGGCCGCTGCTCTGCACACTTTTGCTCCAACCCTGTCAAGCACAGCTGATCCAACTCATCAAAATGTTTATGACTCTTTTGAACACCTCGATTATTTAGATCAGCTGTGTTTGATGGAGTCGGAGCATTACTGTGCAGAGCTGTGGCCCTCCAGGAATTGATTTCGAGACCTATGATCTATGGGATTGAACCAGCAACCCTTGCAGTAACTGTAATTGTATTGTCTGCACAGTATTATTTTAAAAATAACTATTGGTCGCTGAAACAAACTGCAATTCTGTCTACATTAAGTATACACTTTTGTTTTAATAAGTAGATTATGATGAGAACAGGTGCAAGTATCAAGGCTGTTCTTGCTCCTCCCCTTCGTATTGATAGTCCATTTCGGCTCTCTCATATTCTAGCTCCGCCCCCTCATAACCTTCATACCCCTCCCCCTCACAAACAAACTCCTCCCTTTCATATTCCAAACCACCACCTCCTTCATCATACTCAAGCCCCGCATCATCAAATGTCACACCTTGTTTTTCAAACTCCGCCCCTTCATCGTTATTTTGTCCATCCTCGTCGCCTGTTGACTCCATTTCTTTCTCCTTAGCAGCGGCCAAATTGAGGGCGGAGTTCATTCGGAGTTTCTTGAGTATTCCGTGAATAACTGGATTAGCAGCCGCTGCCGCAGCAGCCGCCGCCTCCTCTGCTTCCTTCTCCGCACGTTCTTTCGCCTCTTTCTTTCTTTCTCTAGCCTGTAAAACCTCCTCGGCTCCCTCCCCAACAATCAACACCTCCTCCCCTACACGTGGCGGCTCCTTCACAGGGTTGTGGTCGTAGGAGAAAAGGCGCAATGCTGGAAGATGATGCAAGTTCGGGAACTCTGATATCCGATTGCGATCCATGTCCAGAATCTCCAAGTGCTCCATCTTGAGGAGCACTCGTGGAAACTCCTGAAAACGGTTCCCGTAAAGCCAAAGTCCTCGGAGGGACTCCATGCGGCATAGATCTGAAGGGAGGGTGCGCAGGCGGTTGTCCCCGATTTGTAGAGAGCGCAAATTGGGAAGGTCGTACAGCTGCTTGGGGAACCGCTGAAAAAAGTTGCTTTCCACCCAAAGGCAGCGCAAGCTTTGCAGATTCGCCAGTTCTGGAGGAAGACTCATCAGTCGGTTGCTTCCCAGGTAGAGACAGGTGAGGTTGGTCAGCTGGCACACTGAGAGAGGAACGTCATCAAGCTTATTAAAGTCAAGCGCAAGCGTGCGCAAACCCTGCAGCCGTGTGATTCCCTTCGGGACGTCGCGGAGACGATTACCACACATATAGAGCTTCTCCAGATAGTGCAGATCGAGCACTTGGCGAGGAATCCGACGGAATTTGTAGTAGGTCAAATCCAATACTGGATCTCCACTCGCTAAGAGGTCGTCGACCCCAAGGGGAAGCTCTTCATCTTCAATGACCTCCTCTTCTTCCTCTTTCTCCTCCTCTTCTTCTTCATCTCCCTCCTCTTTAACCTTTTTCTCCTTTTCCTCTCCTCCTTCGTCCTCTGGCTCTTTTCGGGACGAGTTGCCCATGCCCTCGGCCGGCTCGCCCCGGCGTTTGTCCGTGTGTGTATCAGGAGAGTGTGTTTCAGGACGGGGTGAGCGGGTGAGGCGGTCTGTGGGGCAGGCCCCCCCTCCCCGTGTCAGTTTCACTCAGTAGGATTGACCCGGCAGTGACAGAGCCAGCACAGCGACACATGGTGCTCTGACTACAGGCGGCTTCCCCTCAGTCCCAGTACAACGAGCACCAATGTCAGCAAACACGGCGGCGAGACCAGCACGTAGACATCCTGAGTGTTTGTCTTTATATTATCAAGATTATATTCTAGAAAACAAATTATGATAATGATAATAGTAGTAATAATAGTAATAGTAGTAGTAGTAATAGTAATAGTAGTAGTAGTTGTACAAATAAGTATAACTGTAACAGGAATTGAGCTTAATTTTGTCTCTGTAATACAGCTAAACTCATTTACTTTGTTTGTAATGTGCAGAAGCAAATGCAGTGTTGTTGGACTGTGATGTGTTGTTTGATCTCTAGTAATTTAGTGTATAATTTATTTGTATTAGTTGCACACAAGTTTCCCGCACAGGGAATAATACAGTTTGCTAGTCTAATCTAATAGTGTTAAGTAGCTGCAAGCACTTTGCATGCTAGTCACGTTATTTATTTATTCATTTGAAAGTATACTGTCTCTTGAAAGCAGTAACGGACTCACATTACAGTCAGAAAACTTTGACGGAGCGGTTTCAGTTCTGACCCCGCTGTGGAGCGTCTCTCTGCCGGCACACGCTGCTCTTTTCCGGCCGCCCGGTCTGTGGATCGCGGTCTCGCTGTGACCTGGCCGGCGGCAATGTGAACTGAACCGATGATGCCGAATTGAAGCTCCGGTTCGCGGGGTCCTAAAGCAGGCTAAAATCCTCTGGGATGTCAGTGTAAAGTTTCCAGGAGCGCTCGACTCGATTTCTGTGTTTCTATCCAAGGTTGTGTGATCAAATACGTCTCGCGTTTCTCTCTCTCTCGGTGTGGAGTTGGAGTAAAGCGTTGCCATGGACCGTCTCTCTCCCCCTAGCAACCGAAACAGGGGCATGAGAGTAACGACTGTCACGTGGTCCAGAAAGAAAGAGAGAGAGAGAGGGAGGGAGGGAGAGAGAGAAAGAGAGAGAGAGAGGGAGAGAGGCGGTCAAATTCCTCTATTCCAAGTTCAAGTTACGCAATAGAGAAACGTATATATATATATATATATATATACATATATATATATATATATATATATATATATATATATATATATATATATATATATATATATATATATTATTATTATTATTATTATTAAACATCCATGTTTATTTTAAAATAACATAATATTAATTTAAAATAAGGTTTTAAGTAAATAAAAATATTAAGAAACATATTAAAAGACAAACTAAACAAATGTCAGGTGTAATTAATAAAATGTAAATATATACATGAATTAAATAAATGTAATATTATTTTTTTATATAAATTATTTATGTTAATTATTGTCATACACTGTAAAAAATGCAGGGTTCCACACAATTCCTTTGTGTTCTCCAAACACAAATCGATTAAGTTAACGAAACCCTTTCAACAAATTTATGTGGATTGAACATAAAAAATTAAGTTGTCCCAATAATATCTCAAGAATTGAGTTGTTTCAGCTCATTTTAAATAAGTAGTTATTTTGAGTGTATATTAAAATAATTTGGCCGTAGTGTGTGTGTGTGAATTCAAGAGTGTGTATGTTTCCCAGTGTTATATATGCTGGATAAGTTAACGGTTCATTCCGCTGTGGCGACCCCTGATTAATAAAGGGACTGAGCCGAAACAAAAATGAATGAATAAATAAATAAATATATATATATATATATATTTATATATATATATATATATATATATATATATATATGTGTGTGTGTGTGTATGTGTGTGTGTGTGTGTGTTTAAATTATTTGTCATTTTTATAATTTGAAAGCATATGGTCCTACATATATATATATATATATATATATATATATATATATATATATATATATATATATATATATATATATATATATATATATATATAAGCAACACAAGTAAGAGACTTTTGTGAAGAAAATGTTGCAGTGCAATTAATGGTAAGAAATATTTCATGTAATTATGTTTAATTATATTAAATATTCATATATTTATTTAAAAGTTAACTTTTTTATAATTTTTCAATTGTTTTCAGTATTTAATGAAAAAATTATCAATAAATGATATTTATTAATTTACTATTTTGTTATCTGTTATATTAAATTATAAGTAATAAATTATCTTATGTAATATAATAACAAAGCAATGTTCAAATTATTTATTAGTAGTGTGTGTATATGTACAGTATGTATGTGTGTGTATGTATTGTACACATATAGCTGAAGTCAGAATTATTAGCCCCCCTGAATTATTCGCCCTCCTGTTTTTTTCCCCCCAATTTCTGTTTAACGGAGAGATGATTTGTTTCAACTCATTTCTAATCATAATAGTTTTAATAACTCATCTCTATTAACTGATTTATTTAATCTTGGCCATGATGACAGTAAATAATATTTTACTTGATATTTTTAAGACACTTCTATACAGCTTAAAGTGACATTTAAAGGCTTAACTAGGTTAATTAGGTTAACTATGCAGGTTAGGGTAATTAGTCAAGTCATTGTAAAATGATGGTTTGTTCTGTAGACTATCGAAAAAAATATGTAGCTTAAGGGGGCTAATAATTCTGACCTTAAAATTACTTTTTAAAATTAAAAACTGCTTTTATTCTAGCCGAAATAAAACAAACAAGACTTTCTCCAGAAGAAAAAATATTACCAGACATACTGTGAACATTTCCTTGCTCTGTAAAACATAATTTGGGAAATATTTAAAACAGAAAAAATGTAAATGGGGATAATAATTCTGACTTCAACTGTATGTGTGTGTGAGTTTTATTTAGGATATATACATTAAAAACAAAAGTAAATATTTTGATGTTCGCAAATCAACTTGGCTTGCAAAAGTGCACAAAATATGCACAAAACAAATAAACACAAATCCCACGTGAACAAGACAAATATTTTCCCTGAACCAGCTTACATAGCATTACTAAACTGAATATACAGGACTATACCACGAACTATTGATCTATAAAGTATTACATAATGTATGCTACAGGAATAGTGATGAAATTATTATAAAGTCCCACCCAAAGAAATCCTAGTACAGTGTACGGTTCTGTCATGCAGAGCCTCTGAGAGTCCTTAAATGATGATTTGTGGTGTTACACGTAATGATATATGTGTAAAGCACTCTCTGCCCTAGATCAGTGTTTTTCTGCTGAAGTGTTGTTGTAATGCATCAAAGTTCAGCTTCTGTGTTCCACGGTGTCAAAGCGGCACAAAATCCCCCTAGTGGTCGGATCACATCATGTGGACACGTGCTCATGATCAGAAATCACTCCACCTTCAGTCGGCTGGAAATGCTGATGCTGAACTTTTCATTTCTTAACAGTCAGGCACTGCTAAAAATGTGTCTTAAAGTCGTATTCAAAACAATGTTTTAAAAGATAACTTCAGATCTCCTACTTCAAAATTAATTCCAATGTTTGAGTTCAAACTCTTTCCACACATTTTTTTTTAAAATAAACAATTAAAAATTTATTTAGTCCTTTATAAAATTCCATTGTTTTAATTAATAAACAGTGTTTAAATCAATAATCTGACTTAGATTGATTTTGACAGTACTATTTCTACACCCGTTTATTCGTTCATTTACCTTAATCTACCATTCCCTTTATTCATCAGGGGTTGCCACAGTGGAATGAACCGCCAACTTATCCTGCATATGTTTTACACAGCGGATACCCTCTTAGTTGCACCCATACACACGCACATTCACACACTCATATACTATGGCCAATTTAGTTCACCCAATTCCCCTAAAGCGCATGTGTTTGGATAGTGGGGGAAACCGGAGCACCCAGAGGAAACTCACGCCAATACGGGGAGAACATGCAAACTCCACACAGAAATGCCAACCGACTCAGCCGGGACTTGAACCAGCGACCTTCTTACTGTGAGTGCTAACCACTGAGCCACTGTGTGCTCAATTTATTTTCTTTTATAAATGTTCTTATATTATAATATTAATAAAATATAATAATATACAATAGTCAACATTTGAAGTGAATGAAACAGGTTTTTTTTAAATCGTCCAGACATGAATGAATATTGTTGAAATTTAAGACCTTTTTTTAAGATTCTTTCCATACATTTTAAGACCTTATACAGGGTTTCTGCAGGTTTAAATTAAATGTAAGACCTTTTAAGACCATTATAAATGAAATTTTAGAGTAATCCAGGGCTAAATGCTAATTGTTTTTTTTTAAATTCCCGTTGGAAAAGATTTTTACTTGCCCCCTATCAAAACATGATTCAAATTTAATACATTTCATGATACAATAATAGCGATTGAATAATAATAAAAATATAGGTCAGGTCAGTATCGTCAACAGTAAATTAATGGAGAATGTTTAAACAAATGTTACTATAAGAAAAGTAATGAAAACATTATGGTAAATAAAGTTTAAAATGCTGTTTTTAAATAAAACGTTTTATTGAGATTGGGATTGTAGGTGATTGCATGTTGGTTAATGGCCAGATTGGGAAGCTATACATGAACAAAGAAAAATTAAGACCTATTAAGATTTAAGACCTATAACACAATAGTTCAGTAGATTTAAGATTTTTTAAGGCCTAAAATTTAGCTTTTGAGATTTAAAACTTTTTAAAACCCCCACGGATACCTTGTTATATCCACTTTTCAACTGGAAACACTGGCGAGATTTTAACTTACAGTATATTTACTAAATATTAATGTGAGAAATTACTCCAAAACTTAAACGTTATTCATATACTGATTAAAAATCTATTAAATATAGCTAATTAAGCAGGTAGGCGCCTATAAAATTGCAGAAATAAAGGTGTTGCCTTGGTTAAACAAAGCAGCATGATGTCAAATCTAGTAGGATTTCATTGATTTCATAAACTGCACAGCATCCTGATATTCACAGATCTAATTCAGGCAAACTTTAGCATACAACCATACAATGCATGAAAATGATATAAAATTGAATACCTTGCAAAATAGCATTTAAGAGTTTTTAATACTTTTTAAGGGCCTTAAAATTCTCTACATCGATTTATCAACTTTTAATAATTTTTAAGACCCCACTTACACCTTGTATATTATTATATATTATACTAATATTATAGTGTAGTTTTTATAAAAGTAAGGAATCCGCTGTGTAAAACATATGCTGGAATAGTTGGCGGTTCATTCCGCTGTGGCGACCCCTTAATGAATAAAGAGACCAAGGCAAAGGAGAATGAACAAATTTATAAAAGTAACTAAATACAAATGTATTTTTTAAGAATTAATTTTTTCCATCTGTATTGTTTTGATTTCTAAATACAGGCGTTTCATTAGGCAGATGTCAAAATTAAAGTATTGGGATTTTTGGTAATGTTAATACACTTTGTTATTGCACTGTCAGGCCCATAGCCAGCCTATTAAAAGGGGTAGTTCTTTTTTTCTCTCTAAAATTTGACCTTTTTGCAGTCATTCGCCTCATTTTTTATTAAATTATGTGGTTCAAATACTGCATTTTAGTGACACAAGCACTGATTTTTGCTGGATTTGCTAGTCAGATTGTCATCATTACTACACTTTTTGATGTAACCAAAATATTTCCTACATTTTTGTCAAAGTGCTTACCATACTATTTAATGGTTACTAAAATGTATGTTTTTTTTTTTTTACAAATGAGTTATTTAAAAATGTTATCATAGTTTTATAAATAATGTGATATAAGAATTTTAGAAATATGACAAGTATGTTATCATATAATATGATAAGTAAAAATATTTAATTTTTTAAATGCTAATTCATTATCCATCACAAAAAAAACGACCAAACGGAAAACAATTAAGAATCTGTTAAAACGTGTTTGAATTAAAAACTGTTGCCTACACTCTCAGAAATAAAGGTATGCGAGCTGTCACTAGGGTAGTAGCTTTACAAAAGGTACAAATTTGTACCTAAAAGGTCTATATTAATAACTCAAGGGTACATATTAATACCTAAAAAGTACAAAAGTGTTCCTCTTAAAATTTGTGGGTCATAACATAAGCTTTTAAGGTACCAATATGGACCCTTCAAGTACAAATTGAAAAGGTACCACCCCAGTGACAGCTCGAGTACCTTTATTTCTGAGAGTGTACAGGCAAATAACAAACTGGCCAGTACAATTTCTTCAGTCAGAATTTATCCATTTCAATAATAATAATAATTAAAATTGTCTTAAAGCCTTCTTCTATTGGTTATTTTCACAATTAATAATGACAAACTGTTGAAAATTAGACAAATGAGCTCATATATAGGCCAAATTCTGGACTTTTTCAGCAGAGTGGGTCTTTAGAACCTGTTGTTGTTAGCAAGTCATGTGAGAAAGATCTCCTGAATTCTTCATTTATTATCACCATCTGAATCTCTGAAAAAAATAGTACATACAACACTTGTCAGAATAAAATATCAAAATGTGTTTTTGTGTGTGTGTGTGTGTGTGTGTATATATATATATATATATATATATATATATATATATATATATATATATATATATATATATATATATATATATATATATATATATAAATAGGGAACACAATGTACATTTCACAAAAAAAAAAGTCATTGATGGCATACACACATATAATTCAGTCCTTTAATATTTGTGTTTCACTTTTTAGGCACTGTATTGTGCACTAATTATAACTTCTGATTTTATATTATAATTAAAAAACAATTTTATTATTTATTTTTTGTTAATTTTACCCTTCAAAAAAGACTTGAATTACTAACCGATGGACGACTGTATAATAGATTGCTATATTATTGTATATGATGACATGAGACACCTATACTACTGTTCTTTCATTGTAAATATTTAAATAATAATAAAAAATAAATAAATAAATAAAAAATGTTCAATGAATGAAGACATCCTGCATGCATTAACTGTTTTCACTCTGCATAACTTTATGAATTTACATGTGTTGTTGCAACCGTTAGTCTACACATCTTTTTGATGACAGTTGAATCTACAGTAGAAACAATAAAAAGCATATCTATAAATGAATAAAAAGCCCTCGATTGATTAGGATTAGTAGCATTATGTCATCTAATTAATATTCATAAGCTAAGCTGATAAGGTTTATAATGTGTCTCTGCCCTGACAACCGTGAAGGCCAAAGGTTTGCAGAGCTTTTGAAACCTTTCAGGTCAAGGTGACATTCATGCGCAGTATTTCTATATATTGAATTAAATATATATTGATGTTTATATCGGTTATTTAAGTTTAAATGCACAGATATACCTTTAAAAAAATTATACAGACAGAAATTTCATTTCCATTCTAATGTAGTTCATACACAAAACTCTTAAGGTCTGCTAATATGAAGTAAAATTAATTGTGAAGGGAAATAATCCAATGTTCCTGCATCAAAATAGCATTCATGAACATTTAATTATCTTATCTTTTTTATTATATATCTTTTATATAATTATGAGCCTTGTCAGAGAATGAATGCTCGCAGATTAACCGTAGAGTTATTCAGTCTGCGAGCATGTTAAAAAATACTGGATGTCATGAAGAAAAGTGCAGAAAATGAGTTTGAAAACATACGTCTGTGGTGTTTCCTTTGAGAGGAAAAGACCAAAGTTCCTTGTTTTTCATCTGAAATGTTTTAACAGTCAGATCAGTCACCAATCTGTGGCTTGATCTTGTTTTATTCTTGAAATGCTGAATTTGGCTAGAATAAAATGCATATTTGAGAAGATTCAGATAGCAAAAGTGACTGAATTAGGGTCATTTGCATTACATTTTGATGACTTTTGTTAGTTTATTCCTAATTAACTTGCATAATTGAGATTTAGCAACATGCATAATAAAATAATATACATTCATTATATTATATACATGTGTTTTTAATGTTATAAGGATTGTTGCTGCCTTAATATTTTCAGTTGAATCAAATCACTTTTCTAGTCATCTCAACTTACTGTACATCAATCAAACTGACTAAAAATATTAAGTTGAAGCTGATTATCTTATTAAAGCAACACAAAAAACTCATTTCATTTTTACAGTGTTTATAAAATGTAAATTATGAAACACAAGTCTCTTCAATCTTTTAAAAATAACCTGTTTTCCACACATTTAACATAAAATACACTATATTCGCGAAATCCAATGAATGTACGAGTGTTTTTACGACGTTCAGTGTAAATTAGGTCATTTTTTTCCTGGTAATGCATCAATATATTACTAATAAGCAATTTAAAGATTTTGTATGTATAATTGTGCATTATTTAAAAATTATTTTTAATTATTTTATTTATTTATTTTTATTTTTAATTATGTTATCAACATTTTTTTTTACATTTACCAGAAAATACACAATATTTGCATATTCTAATGAATGAGTGTTTTTATAAGCTATGTACGATGTTTACTGCAATTTAGGTCACATAATGCACTTTTTATTATTGTAAATGTAATGATATATTTCTTATAACCAATTTATAGGTTTTATATATGTAATTATGCAGTATTTTAAAATGTTTTCCACACAAAAACAAAATCCTATCAACTTTTTTTTACATTTAACAGAAAATACATTGTATTTTTTTACAAGCTATGCATGACATTTATTGTGATTTAGGTAACCGAATGTACTTTTTTTATGTAAATGCAACAATATATTACTTATAATCAATTTATAGGTTTTGTATGTGTAATTGTGCATAATTTTAAAATGTTTTCCACACAAAGACAAAACCCGAGCAATTCTGTCCTTTTAATTTAACAGAAAATAATACTAATTACTATTACTAATATAATACTATATTTGCATATACTAATGAATGTAAGAGTGCTTTTACAAACGATGTATGACATTTAATGCAATTAAGGTAACTAAATGCACTTTTTTAATGTAAATGCAACTATATATTAGTTATAACTAATTTATAGGTTTTGTATGTGTAATTATGCAGTATTTTAAAATGTTTTCCACACAATCCTATCAACTTTCTTATTTACATTTAACAGAAAATATTCTGTATTTTTGTATTCTACTGAACGAAGAGTGTTTTACAAGCTATGTACGACGTTTAATGCGATTTACATAACCAAATGCACTTTTTATTCATGTAAATACAACGATATATTACTTTTAAGCAAGGTATAGGTTTTGCATGTGTACTTATGAAGTGTTTTAAAAGGTTTTCCACACAAACACAAAATCCTATCACTTTTTTTTACATTTAACAGAAAATACACTGTATTTATGTATTCTAATGAATGTAAGCATGTTTTTACAAGCTATGTACGATGATTAATGCGATTTAATTCAGTGAATGCACTTTCTATTTATGTAAATGCAACGATATACTACTTAAGAGCAATTTATAGATTTTGTATGTGTAATTATGCATTACTTTTTATGTTTTTTACACAAAGACAAAACCCTATCAAAGTATTGTTAATAAAACCAAAAATACACTATATTTACTTATTCTAATGGGGTTTTATCCTCTTATTTTTGGATTTACAAGCTTAACTTTGGACTTCTCAATGCAAAGGAAAAACCACAGACCCAAACCTGCTCGTTTTTTTGCACTATCCTTTACGATATACTGTATTTTTAACATGTTCACATGTTTAACATGAACGTTTACAGTTAATTTTCGAGAATTTATTCTCTGATAAGCTCCTAATAAAACAAGATAAGATAATTAGGCTGCTCATAAATGCTCGTTTGATGCAGGTATTGGATTATTTCCCTTCACAACTAATTTTTACACATGAATTAGGTCACCGAGTGCACTTTTTACATGGTAAATGCAACAATATATTACTTATAAACATTATTTATATGTTTCGTTTGTGTAATGTTCGTTATTTTACCGCCGTCATTGTTTTCTGTTACCTCACTGATGTAGAACTCGAACCTGAGTAACTCTTCTCTTTATCTCGCGTTTTCCCCGCCCTTCCAAAGTTCTCTCTGTGCTCCCATTGGCTGACAGTCCGCGAGACTCTCTCAGAGACGCGCGCCGATTGGCTGCTGGAGCTCGAATGATCTGTTCGGAATTCAGCAGAGGTACAAGTGATGTGAGTGAGTGTATAAGACAGTATGAGACTCTCATCCGCTTCTCTTTCTCATCACACACAACAGTACTGTATGAGTGTGTGATCAAAGTGCCTGCTGAGACGGTGAGTCAAATATTAAAGGTTTAACTCAATGCACTTTTTCTTTTAGCTCCTGTTATATAACAGTGGACACGTTCAGTATATGAACTAACATCATGATGAGTTCATCAGGTTCAATTGGCGAATGAAAAGAAAGGATGTGTTATTTGTGCTGTTTATTTCTGGTGTTTACCCTTTTTTGCAACGCTCTTAGTCTGTTCCTGCTTTGTTTGCATGGTCATTTGTTATGCAAAGTTAAATAAAAGTAATTGACTGAGGTCAAATTGATTGACTAATGCACTAATGTAAAATAAACAAGCAAGATTGTGTTAGTTTGTGCATTTCTGCAGGACTCTTCTGCCTTTTTGTGCATGTTGAATGAGATTATGTGAGCATTCTTTGTCTCCTTCTTGAACAACAGCCAGGATTGTGTTTCAGTGCGCTTGGGGGAAAAATAGATGGGGTTTGTACAGTAAAACCCTGTTTTTGTGGTTGATTAATGGTAAATTGGTACATTTATGGTTGCCAAAGTTTGTCAGGTGGCTTGCTTTGGATTTCTTAATTTGTAAATCATTAGTTTTCATAAGGGAAGTGGAAATTGTGCATTAAAGAGGAGTTATTTTAAGCCTAAAATGGCTTCCGTTGGTGTAAACTAATATTTCGGGGTTGATTTTGCAGTAGTAGATTACATATTTTGATTTATTCCAATTATTATACACTCTTTGTTTTGCAGTTGAGATATCACAAACTTGCTGTGCTCTAAAAAATTGGAATAATGGGATTTTTGGCAGTTTCTTGGGGAAAATGATGCCTAAAAATGAACACAAAATGAAACAAAGTAATTATTCTGACCTGTACTTATTAATTTATGTAGAATATAATAAGTGGTTATACTAATACTGTCAAAATAAGCAATAATTTATAGTATGAAAAATGCTGTGTAAATGCCATGTTAGAACATTTTTGTGTGCCTCAAATTGATTTTATATGCATTTATTATTTTTTTTAATTACATTTTAGTTGGCTTCTTCACTGAAAAAAAAACATATGAGTCAATACTTATTTTCAAAGGGAAAAAAATCTTTTAAAAAGGACATTTGAAAACAAAAGAAAATATAATATTTCATAAAACATTATTATAAGAAAAATAATACTATTAATATTCAAAGTAGATGTTTTTGTATAATTAATAATTAACATTTAACAATCACAGAAACATTATTATAAATAAGCAGTTTTTCTTACAGGTTTTAAAATTCAATAAGGACAAAAATTTAATGTTCATGGTAAATTTGAATATTTATACATGGGTGAAAAATTAATTCGTTTTGTTTTAATATTAACAATTTAATTAAAAAGTGTAACTCATACAATAACAAAGGATTGTCACTTGTACATTAAAATGTGGAAAAAAAACTTAATTTGATGTGGAAAACACTGTTTAATTATTCATATTTACATTTACATATGTCCTATAAATTATGGCTTTGATTATGTTTATTTATTATGATTACTTATAGGTATTATTAATTATTATTATTATTATGTGAAAATTTCATTAAATAATCCATTCATCAATGTTGATATTGTATGTTATTGTAAAAAAATACTGCTATTTGCATCTAAATGCACATTTTGGTTTTAGGTCAACTTCAATGAACTCACTTAAAGTGTATTTGACTGCTTTGCTTTTGTGACCCAGTGATACGCGAGCAGCACTGTTCAGAGATCAGCGATGGGTGGCGGAGGACAGCAGACAGACCGAATCACCGACACCAACGGCAGATTCAGCAGCTACACCTGGGAGGAGGTGCAGAAACACACCAAACATGGAGATCAGTGGGTGGTGGTGGAGAGGAAGGTTTATAACGTCAGCCAGTGGGTGAAGAGACACCCCGGAGGACTGAGGATCCTCGGACACTATGCTGGAGAAGACGCCACGGTAAAAAAACCTGCAGGTTTACTTTTAGCATGCATGATAAAACCTTTGATAGAAACATTGGCTTGGTGCCAGAAATTTCTACATTATTTGTTTAGGCATCTTAGTTTTTACATTAAGCTTAAATTATCATGGTAATAAAGATTACTCCAAAACATCAACAAAAAGTGATGTATTTATATAAAAAAAAATGTAAAATGTTTTTTCTTCTGGGGAAAGTCTTTTTTTTTTTTCGGCTAGAATAAAATAAGCTTTTAATTTTTTTAAAAACAATTTTAAGGTCAAAATTATTTATTATAAAAAATATAAAATTATTATTATAGCCCCTTTAAGCTATATAGTTTTTCGATAGTCTACAGATCAAACCATTGTTATATAATAACTTGCCTAATTACCCTAACCTGCCTAGTTAACCTAATTAACCTAGTTAAGCCTTTAAATGTCACTTAAAGCTGTATAGAAATGTCTTGAAATATATCTAGTCAAATAGTAATAGAGATGAGTTATTAAAACTATTATGATTAGAAATGTGTTGGAAAAATCTGCTCTCTGTTAAACAAACATTGGGGGAAAAAATAAACAGGCGGGCTAATATTTCTGACTTCAACTGTATATATTTATTTTTATTTATTCATTCATTCATTTTCTTTTCGGCTTAGTCCCTTTATTAATCCGGGGTGGCCACAGCGGAATGAACCGCCAACTTATCCAGCACATTTTTACGCTGCAGATGCCCTTTCAGCCGCAAACCATATCTGGAAAATTATTTTCATTTATTTATTTTATTTTTATTTTTTTTAAATGGCAGAGATAGTGACAGACTTTCCACATGTTCTTTTAAATGTTTGCATAAAAACAAGAGATGAGAAAATAGAAAAAAACCCGAATAAAATTATGATAAAAATTCATTTAAAACATAAAACAATGACTTAAAATAACTTAAAAAATGATAAATATAAAAACAATTGATGACAACAATAATAAATAAAGTAAAACAATAATAATCAAAGCCATAATTTACAGCACAAAATATGTTATGTAAATACGAATAAATAAACATTCTCATATTACACAGGTGTCAAACTCAGTTCCAAAAGGGCCGCAGCTCTGCACAGTTTAGTTTCAACCCTGATTAAACACGCCTGATCAAACTAATTGAGTCCTTCAGGCTTGTTTAAAACCTACAGGTAAGTGTGTTGGAGCAGGGTTGGAACTAAACTGTGCAGGGCTTCGGCCCTCCAGGAATTGAGTTTGACAGCCCTATATGTGCATTAAAGACGTTTTGTTTTATTGTCGTTGTTTGCATTGCATTTTTATTATTTTGTTAATATTACAATTAAATAAGTTCATTGTTGGCCTATGTATGAATATAAAAATTAGATGGTCCATTTGAGTATTAGTAGACTGTCTGCTTAATATCTGTTGATACTGCTCCTTCAACAGACATTTAACTGACTATAATAACTTTGTAAATACATGACAACTTACTAATAGTCTACTTATAATCTATTGAGAATTAGTTGACATGTAGATGCAATGTAACTTAAATTCAACAAACGGATCATCAAAATAAAGTGTGACCTAAAAGTTTAACATGAACATTACAGCTAATTAAATTTAAAAGAGTGTCAGAAAAGCATGTTTATTTGTAGTAATGTTTCAGTAACTGATAAGATCTCAATCAAGACGATCACCGACTGACGGTGTTTAATCTGCTGTGATAGGAGGCGTTCACTGCGTTTCATCCAAACCTTCAGCTGGTGAGGAAATACCTGAAGCCGCTGCTAATCGGAGAGCTGGAGGCGTCTGAACCCAGTCAGGACCGGCAGAAAAACGTGAGTAGAGACGAGAAAATGTGTCGTGAATATGAAAATGGCCGTGACGCTTCTGACACTTGAATATGAGATCTCTCTCTCTCTTTCTCCCTCCTTGAAACTTTGGTCTATAAATGGAATTGACAAGGTGGCTCAGTGATTAGCACTCACAGCAAGAAAGTTGCTGGTTCGAGTCCCAGCTGGGTCAGTTGGCATTTCTGTGTGGAGTTTGCATGTTCTCCCTGTGTTTGCGTGGGTTTCCTCCGGGTGCTCTGGTGTCCCCCACAGTCCAAACAATTGGATGAACTAAATTGGCCATAGTGTATGAGTGTGTGTGTGTGTGTGTGAGTGTACGTGTTTTTGTGACATATCAGGACATAAATCTGTATAATGACATGGGTATGACACAGGTATTACAAAAAGTAGGTGAAATATGAGGACATTGGTGATGTCCTCATTTCTCAAAAAGCTTATAAATCCTAGAGAATGAGTTTAATCAGAGAGTAAAGCTGCACACAGTCTCCTGTGATGGTTGGGTTTAGGTGTGGGGTGAGGGCAATATAATATACGGTTTGGACTGTATAAAATGAATGGAAACCTATGTAATGTCCCCACTTTTCACAAAAACAAACATGTGTGTGTGTGTGTGTGTGTGTGTGTGTGTGTGTGTGTATGGGTGTTAGTAAAAGACTGTAAAAATATACAAAAATTGTACAGTGTGTCGTTGTTGTTAGTAGTACTACTGGCTTAACCGCTTAACTAGGTTAATTAGGCAGCTTAAGGTAATTAGGCAAGCGGTTGTATGACAGTGGTTTGTTCTGTAGATTATCCAAAAAAAAAAATAGTTTAAGAGGGCTAATAATATTGACCTTAAAATGTTTAAAAACAAATAAAAATTGCTTTCATTCTAGACAAAATACAACAAATACGACTGTCTTATGTTTTTTATGTTTGTGCCTCTGTCAGGCTGCTCTCGTGGAGGATTTCCGAGCCCTGCGTGAGCGTCTGGAGGCTGAAGGCTGTTTTAAAACGCAGCCGCTGTTTTTCGCTCTGCATTTGGGCCACATTCTGCTCCTGGAGGCCATCGCTTTCATGATGGTGTGGTATTTCGGCACCGGTTGGATCAACACGCTCATCGTCGCTGTTATTCTGGCTACTGCACAGGTACTATTGGACACATCTGATATAGTCTTATAATAATCAAAATGTAAAATTCCATTAGTAATTAATTACTCGCACTTATTTTGTTCCAATCCCCAATAATATATTCATCCTCATCCTCCATAGACGGCAATAGACGCGATATGTTCATAGTTCAGAAAAGGAACCAAAAACATTGTAAACGCACACTCTTATTTAAGTAGTAACAGTTTTTTGGTGGTTTCTTGGAGCTTTGTATGATTACAGTTGGACCAATGAAGTGGCATAAGATGTATTTGGTTCCTTTTCTTGACTTTGACTGTCTCGGGACTCTTGCTGTTAATGGAGGATGAGGGAGCTCTCCTATTTCATCTAAAATATATGTTATTATTAGTGCCAGGCAAAGATTAATCACGATTTATCACATCCAAAATAAAAGTTTGTTTAGACATAATATATGCGTTTATTATATATATTTATTATGTATTTGTGATACACACACACACATACATAGAAACAAAATTATACAAAACAGTTTTTATTACATGGATATTTTAATTTATATATAATCTGTATCATATGCATATATATTTCATATCTAAATATAAATAAACATTTTTTCAAATATGTGCATTAGGGTTGTCAAAATTAATTGTTTTTTTCGGTGCAGACGCGGAGAATTCGGTATCGGTTAAGTAATAATCATAACCGGTTATTACGTTCACGGTCATTTATCCCCTATGCGCTCTGTCGCGAGGGAGGTGAGCGCGGGTATTTACAACACTCAGGAGCCAACTCAGGGCCGGCCCGTGGCATTGGCAGTATAGGCAAATGCTAAGGGCGCTGAACATCCAGGGGGCGCCAGAAATAAGCGCGGTTCAGTTGGTTTTGTTTTCGATATTCCTGACATATTCAGTTATAAACGGCAATAACTTAAAAACCTCTTACAATAAAAAGATCTAAAGTGTGTTTTCTACAAAAAGACAAAGCTGGTTATGTTTCACAGCTGTCTTTTTCTTTTTTTTCGCTCGACATTACGACCACTGCTCCGTTTAAGCCTTCGCAATATGCGTTTAGCCAGGAGAGCTCACGCTGAGCGGAGCTCTCAGTAAGGGACCGTCGGAAAAGTGCTTCCTTTTTTTTCAGTGTTTTTTTTTTTTTTTTTTTGCTCCGCTCAGCGCAAGCATATTGTGAGGGCTTAAGTGTGTGTGTGTGTGTGTGTTTGTTTGTTTGGTGCTGTCTATGTTTGTGTATGTGTGTGAATGGTGCTGTATGTCTGTGTGTTTATACAGACTGCTTGTTAAAGCCTCCCCCTAAAAATAACACTGTGTAGGGAAAGCATCGTCAATGCACCGTGATGCAGCGAGATATCGAATTGAACCGAATCGATGGCATGATAACCGTAACCGAACCAAATCGTGAGACCAGTATAGGTTCACACCTCTAATGTGCATGCATGCGTGTGTTTATATATACATAATAAATATACACAATACATATACGCATATAAAAAAAAACTTGTTTTGGATGCAATTAGTCATAAATACTTTTTTCCCTAGCACTACTTAAATATATATATATATATATATATATATATATATATATATATATATATATATATATATATACATACACACACACACACACACACATACTTACAACAGTTCTGTCTGGTTCTTGAATCTGATTGGCTGATAGTCGTGCAATATTCTGTAAATAACAGCACTCGTCCAGCCTCTTAACCTTTCACCCTACAGCATCAAGCAGAGGACACTGTACAGTTTAACAAATGTTGCAGCTGTTGGACAACATAATGTACTTTTAAGGCTTTTTTAGTCGAGAATGTATTTGTTTAGATTGCAACTATGCAGTTTATTTATAAGGATAGTGCCTACTTTAAATATTTATTATTTCTGAGAGAATGTGTTGAAAAAAAGTCTGCTCTCCGTTAAACAGAGAGAAAAAATAAACAGGGGGCTAATAATTCAGGGGGATATATACAACAGAAATATCTTGTTTTTTAAATGCTGGTGTGTTTAACTAGTTAACTAAAATATGTTTAGGTGTTTTGTACTGTAGCAGAAGGTATGTTTAATGTTTTTTTTTTCTGTCTTGTGCTTTTATGTGTGCGTAGTCACAAGCTGGATGGTTGCAGCATGACTTCGGTCATCTGTCCGTGTTTAAAACCTCTGGAATGAATCATTTGGTGCACAAATTTGTCATCGGACACCTGAAGGTATCAGCGCGCTCACGATAAATGACCTGTTATTATGATGCATTGCACAACATCCTAATAATGCAGCAGTCATGATGAGACATTAAAGTCTTCCAGCTTGCAAATGTTTATGAAGTAAACAGGGGCTAAAATTCATTTAAAGCACTGAAGCATTTGAAGATGAAAATACACTGACTTTGCCTTGACAAAGCCTTTGTTTAACATTGTTAGCATGAATTGTGTTACAAACTAAATTCTCACATGAATATGCTTCATTTATACAGTACATGTTTCTAGCATATTATCACATTGTTAGCATGAATTAGCAGATTTCTTGCATGAATTTACATGCTGTTAGCATGTTTCTTGCAATGTTCAACATGCTGCTTGGATGAATAAACTAGCTAGCATTGTTTAGCATAGTAACTGTGTGAATTGGCATGTTTTTAACATGAAATAGCACATTGTTGGCATTAATTGTGCTTAAGCAGATTTATTATGTGAATTAGCACATTGCTAGCAAGTTTAGTATGAATTAGCATGTTGTTGCATGAATCAGCAAATTCTTTGCATGAATTAGCATGTTGTTACTATGTAGGCCTATCTAGCAGAAAACAGCATGCTGCTGGAATGTAAACATTGCAAAGTGTTTAGCATGTTAAACCATGTTGTTAGCATGAATTTGGATGTTGCTAGCATGTTTCTATCATAATAACATGCTGTTTGTATAAAATAGTTATCTAACATGAATTAGGATATTGTTAGCATTTATTTGCTTGTAGCTAACATTTTCTAGCATGCTTCGAGCATGTTAAACCATATGGTCAGCATAAATTTGGATGTTGCTAACATGTTTATATCATAATAGCATTATGTTAAATAAAATAGCTATCTAACTTGAATTGGCATGCTATTGCGTGAATTAGCCATGATCTTACACAAATTAGCATGGTGTTAGCATGTATCTAGCATTACACAGCATTCTGCTAGTATGTAAACATTGCTAACTTTTCAACATGTTAAACCATATTGTTAGCATAAATTTTAATGTTGCTAGCATGTTTCTATCATGATCAAATTTTGTTTGTATAAAATGTGTATCTAACATGAATTAGCATGTTGTTAGCATGAATTAGCTTGTAGCTAACACTTTGTAACATGTTTCGAGCTTGTTAAGCCACACTGTCAGCATAAATTAGGATGTTGCTAGCATGTTTTTGTCATAAACTTATGTTTGTATAAAATGTGTATTTAACATGAATTAGCATGTTGTTAGCATGAATTAGCTTGTTGCTTCTATTTTCTAACATGTTTTGAACCTGTTTAACCATACTGTTTTATAAAATAGGCATCTTACTTGTATTAGTATGTTGTTAGCATGAATTAGCTTGTAGCTAACATTTTCTAGCATGTTTTGAGCATGTTAAACCACATTGTCAGCATAAATTAGGATGCTGCTAGCATGTTTATATGTTTATATCAGGATAGCATTACTGTTTGTATAAAATAGCTGTTTGACTTGAATTAGCAAGTTGTTGCTTGAATTAGCAAATGTCTTGCACAAATTAGCATGTTACCATACATCTAGCATTAAAGCACATTCTTCTAGGATGAAAACGTTGCAAACTTTCTAGCATGGAAATGTAGCTTACAATTGGATGTTGCTATAATCTATCATGATAACGTGCTGTCTATCATCTAACATGATTTAGGAACTTGTTAGCATGAATTAGCTTCTTAGCTAACATTTTCAAGCATGGTTAGATATTGTTAACATGCATGTTAGCATGTTTCTAACTTTTTGATAAAGTAAATTAGCATTAGCATTCTATTTTAAATGCAAATTTTACACAATCCTTTAGTATTTATTTTACTTATTAGCATCACACTGTTAGCTTAGCAGCATGCTAACTCAAACTCATCATCGATGTGTTGTTTGCATAACAGTAGAAGTTCTGTTTCATTGTTGAAGCTGATGTCTGTACGTGTGTGTGTGTTTTCAGGGAGCGTCTGCGGGCTGGTGGAACCATCGGCACTTCCAGCATCACGCTAAACCCAACATCTTCAAGAAGGACCCGGACGTCAACATGCTGAACGCCTTTGTGGTGGGAAACGTGCAGCCCGTGGAGGTACAAACACACTACACACACGAAAAACACATGGAGGAAACATTCCATCTGATCCCACTGCATGTGTGTGTGTGTGTGTTTATTACAGTATGGCGTTAAGAAGATCAAGCATCTGCCCTACAACCATCAGCACAAGTACTTCTTCTTCAGTAAGTGTTCAGTGTTAGGGATTCCTACTGAAATGTTTATTATAATGGTAACACTTTACAATAAGGTTCATTAGTTAATGCATTTACTAACCTGAACTAATCATGAACAACACATTTACAGCATTTATTAATCATAACTGAACATTTACTAATGCATTATTAACATCCAAGTCCATGCTTGTTAACATTAGTTAATGCACCATGAGTTAACATGAACTAACAATGAACTACTGTATTTCCATTAACTAATGTTAACTAGCATGAACAAATACAGTAGTAGATGTATTGTTCATTGTTTGTTCGTGTTACTAAATGCATTAATTAACATTAACTAATGAACCTTATTGTAAAGTGTGACCATAGTAATTTGAATAGCAAAGGATCCTAAGCAGAATATATAAAACTAAATAATCAGGTCCTCCTCGCTCCATGGATCAGTGCAACAAATGGAGATAGCGTGATTGTAAAGGCCTAAATGTCGAGATTTACTTTAATATCAAACTCAAGAAATTTATTGATTGCATTCACAAAATCTGTGAGTTTACTTCTTCAGTAAATGTTTAGTGTTAGGGATTCCTGCTGACATTTTTACACTGCAAAAAAATGCTTTTCTTAGATTTTTTCGTCTTGTTTCTAGTCCAAATATCTAAAAGTTCTTCAATCAAGAAGCATTTTCTTGACAACCAAAACATATTGTCTTGTTTTAAGAAATAATATGCTAAAATGAAGTGAGTTTTCCCTTAAATCAAGCAAAATAATCTGCCAAAAAATTGGCAGACAAGGAAGCAGTTTACACAACTATAAGAGCAACAATCAATAAGTGCTGTAGGTTCAGGTGTGTAAAGTCTAAGAAGGAAAGCATTAATTCGATTTTATTCCCAACATTTAAGTGAATCTTTTTAATTTTAACAAGTATAATCTTCCATCATAATGACTTTAATTTCAAAATGGTTTTGTATTTCATTATTTCTTGGTCCTTAACCTTTTCCATAAAGTAAACGTTGATTAAAAATGTATTTTTAAAAATCTGATATAAAATTAAGAAAAATCACAGGTAACCAAACAACTGGCAGGCTTTTTAGTTTAGTCTATTTTGTTCTGTGATGCTCAGCTAAAAACAAAATCTTGCCTTTTTATTGATTTATTTGACTATAAATGTCATCTCACTCAGATTAAATAAGCAAGAGTTAAAACAGAAAGCATCATCTGATTTTGAGCATCCTGATGTTATACTGATGTTTCCTCTTTTATTTCCCCCCAGTTGGTCCTCCCCTGCTCATCCCAGTGTATTTCCAGTTCCAAATCTTTCACAATATGATCAGTCATGGCATGTGGGTGGTGGGTGATGTTTTCAACTCATCTTCTTCTTCTGCTGCTCTTCTTCTTCTTCTGTGTGTTTATGTATTCTCTGCTCTTCTTATCTCCTGCAGGACCTGCTGTGGTGTATCAGCTACTACGTCCGATACTTCCTTTGTTACACGCAGTTCTACGGCGTCTTTTGGGCTATTATCCTCTTTAATTTCGTCAGGTATGAAACATTAATAAATGGATTATCAGATCCAATGGATTATCCAGATGCTGAGGCAAAGTAGGCTTACTAGTATATTTAAAAAGATGAAATAAATAAAAATCCCTGGTGTTTTTGCAGTGATGCCATAGAAGAGCCAAAATAACCTTTTATTTGAAATTTAATCACTTTTTGAAATTTATTCTTAACATTTTATTTGAAAAAAAAATCCATAAAATTAAAACAAAATTACTTTTTTTTTTGTTTTGTTTTTAGTTTATTGTCAATGTTTTACTTGTGCGTTTTTTACTCAAAGTTTAATGAAAATGTAATAAAAATTATAAAGAAAATTCTCTTAGTGTGAAAAAATTTACATTTTCAAACAAAGAACTAAAGCACCCTTTTCCACTTAAAAGTTAATTTGTTTATTCCTGACATTTTTTTTCAACTTTTCTTTTCTCAAAATTGACCTTTTGTTAGTTGGAAAAGCTCTTTTGTATATGAATTAAATATGTATTTAATATAACTTACTATAATATGTTTTCATTTGGTTAAAGTGTGACCATATAAATATACTGTATGAGTACAGATTTATTTCATCACTGTTCATTTAAAAGGAAAGTTATTAAAATTATCTGACACTTTTTAATGTCATGAATGACATGATTTTGGGCATTAATAATAACAGAAATAGTATGCACAAAATACACACTTTCGACGAAGTGAAGTTTAATTTTTACACAATAATTTCAGATTTCACTAATTTCCATGCTACATTTTTCGTAAAACTTCTGCTGCTGATTAATTTCTCTTAAGATTATTGAAGTAAAATTTCAGAGAATTTACTATATAGTTTAATATTACTTTCATTTTTTTTTGTTTTATGCATTTGTTTCATTATTTTATTGCAGTTTCTCTTTACTGAATAGTGAAATCATTCAATTCTAGTAGTTTCTGGGTAAAAATTGTTTGCAGTTGTTTGTAGTCACTTTAAACACTTTTTAAAAATTGTGATTAACATTAAAGTTGAATATGGCAATAAGTAATCATAAACATTAAAGAAAAAATGCTTAGGTTTAGTGAATATAAAAGTGAAAGTAAAACGTGAAGTAAAATGCAAAGTGAAAGTGAAATAAAAAATTAAGTGAAGGTGAAATCGAAAATCAACTGTGAAAGTGAAATTAAAATGAAGTGAAAGTGAAATCGAAGTACAAATGTAAAGTGAAAGTGAAATGAAAACAAGTGAAATGGAAAGTCAAATGTAAAGTAAAAGTGAAATTAAAATGAAGTGAAAGTGAAATCGAAGGTCAAATGTAAAGTGAAAGTGAAATTAAAATGAAGTAAAAGAGAAATCGAAAGTAAAATGCAAAGTGAAAGTCAAATGTGAAGTGAAATTAAGTCTGAAAAACCATGAAAGTACATTATTGTGGTCTGCAGGTTTATGGAGAGCCACTGGTTTGTTTGGGTCACACAGATGAGCCACATCCCCATGAACATTGACTATGAGAAAAATCAGGACTGGCTCAGCATGCAGGTGCATTTTTAGCCATATTGGGTTTGAACTCATCCTAGTGTACTGGAATTTACATCAACACAATTTTCTGTTATTCAGCTGGTCGCGACCTGTAACATCGAGCAGTCTGCCTTCAACGACTGGTTCAGCGGACACCTCAACTTCCAGATCGAGCATCAGTAAGAAAAAAAAGTGAGCTTGATTGTCGTCAGTGTACATTCAGCATTTCATAACTGCTTTTTTTTTCGTTGCAGTCTCTTTCCCACAATGCCTCGGCACAACTACTGGCGCGCCGCTCCACGGGTGCGAGCGTTGTGTGAGAAATACGGAGTCAAATACCAAGAGAAGACCTTGTACGGAGCATTTGCGGATATCATTAGGTAAGATGTTTTGTAGACTATCGGAAAAAATATAGCTTAAAGGGGCTAATAATTTTGACCTTAAAATAGTGTTTAAAAATTAAAATCTGATTTTATTCTAGTTGAAATAAAACTAATAAAACTTTCTCCAGAATAAAAAAAATATTACTGTAAATACATTGAGGGAATGTTCAAACGTTAACATTGTGCTAAAAAGATGCAGGCAAAGTTTTATAGCATGCTAACATTGTGGTGAAAAGCCTAAAAATCACTAGAAAAAAGGTCAGAATTGGAAAACAATAATCTCATAATATTTTGAGGGGAAAAAAAAGGTCAGAATTGTGAGATGTAAACCCAGAATTCCAAAGGAGTAAAACTCTGAATTGCAAATCAGAATTGTCAGACATAAACTGTGAGGTTTGAACTCAGAAATTTAAGGGTAAAAAAATTTTGCAATATGAACTCTGAATTCTGAGTGAAAATCATGATTTCAAGACGTTAAATCTTAATTCATGTGGAAAAGAGCAGACCTGACATAAAAATTCATAAAAAAATAGAAACTGCAAGACATACATGTAGTCTTAGAATCTCAGAAAGAGCCAGACATACATTTGGAATTTCATTCATTCATTTTCTTTACAGTTTGTCCCTTTATTAATCTGGGGTCGCCACAGCGGAATGAACCACCAACTTATCCAGCAACTACCTACTGTGCCACCGCGTCACCTATTTGGAATTTTGAAAAAATATTAATATTTCAGAGGAAATCAGAAATGAGGTGTACATTTGGATTTCTGATAAAGTCAAAATGCAAAAAAAAAAAAAAAAAAAAAATGAGGAAAAATTTGGATTTGGAGTTCTGGGGGGGGAAGTCAGATTTTTTTAAAATGTAAATTTGGATATCTGAGGCAGGGGAGTCAAAATTGAGAAAATTTACATTTGTAATTCTGAGGGAAAAAAGTGAGAATTGAAAAAAAAGTCAAAATTGAAAAAATCATAAATTTAAAATTCTAAGGGGAAAAGCCTCAATTGAAAAAAATAATCTATTTTGAGTTCTGAGGAGAAAAAGTCTGAATTGAAAAAGTCAAACTGGTGAATGAAAAGTGTCAATTTTTAATTCTGAGGAAAAATGTCAGGATTAAGAAAAACATTTGGCATTCTAAAGGGAAAATAAAATCTATTTTGAGTTGTGAGGAAAAAATTGGATAATAGTCTTATTTTAATATTAGAGGAATTAAAATGTCAAGAAATAAAAATTGAAAAAAAAAATCTTTTTTGAGTTCTGAGGAAAAACGTCGGGAAAAAAAGTCAACTTACTATTTTTAGGGAAAAGTCGCAACTAAAAACTAATAATTTTGACAGGATTAAGAAAAATGTACGTTTAAAATTCCCAGGGGAAAAGTCTCATTCATTTATTCCTTTTCTTTTCAGCTTAATCCCTTTATTAATCAGGGGTCGCCACACCTGAACCGCTGGGAAAAGTCTCAACTGGAAAAAGAACAAAAGATTTAGGAAAAAGTCAGAACTGGAAACTTGTTTTGTATTTTGAGAAAAACTAAATTTTAAATTCAGAGAAAAAAAATGGCAGAATTCAAAAACATCAATTTAGAATTCTGAGGGGAGAAAATATCAGAATTAAGAAGAAAAAAAGTAAATTTGACAAAAAAGTCAATTTGACAAAAATTCAAATTTGGAATAGTAAAAGGAGTCGCACAGTGGCGGCGCACTGATTTTAATTTATTTATATTATTATCGTCATGGTCGGCACGATGGGTCAGTGGTTAGCACTGATGCCTAACAGCAAGAAGATCTCTAGTTCGAGTCCCAGCTGTAACAGTTGGCGTTTCTGCATGGAGTTTGCATGTTCTCCCCGTGTTCGTGTTGGTTTTCTGTGGGTGCTCCGGTTTCCATTATATCAAAACACATGCGACAAGCGTCCAAAGACATGGTAAACTGAATAAACTAAATTGGCCGTAGTAAATGGTTGTGTAAAACATATGCTGGATGAGTAGGTGGTTCATTCCGCTGTGGCGACCCCTGATTAATAAAGGGAGTAAGCTGAAGAAAACTGAAGCAAACTCTGCATTCCTGTTCAGTCACTCAAATGCTTCATCACTAACCATCATTCCTTTCTTCTCAGGTCTTTGGAGAAATCTGGCGAGCTCTGGCTGGATGCGTATCTCAACAAATAAAGCATGACTTCTCCCTAAATAGAAAAAAAGCGGAGCCGAATCCTCCAATCAGAGCGAGCCTTCACAGACTAGACATCAGGAAGAATCGCAACTAAACCCCCAGTCAATCAGTTCAGTAAAATGACGCGTAGCACTTTGTTTTTTGATATCTGCAAGATAATTGTGGCACTTTGAATGCGTTTTAAAGAGACGGCTCAAAGATGTGTGTCTCGCTCCTAATAAAGGAAAAATCTGAAAGTACATGTACGTGCATGAATGTGTGTGAAAGTTGTGATTGCTGGTTTACAATCGCCGAGTTTGCTAGGTAATTTCGAAGTTTTTATTTAGTAAATTTGCAATTCAGATGTTGTTTTTATAACTAACATTCGGACAAATGAGATGACGATAACACTAGTGGTTGCACTTTGTGGTTTATTATGAAATTTAATTGGATTTCCTACTATTGGTCATCGATTAAACGGATTAAACCTCATCTGTGCATTTCAGTGTCTCTATTTTGAATGAAGCGCATACTAAACAGAATAATTCTCCTCTTTATGTGTATTAAAGGTCACCTATTAAACACTTTTTACAAGATGTCAAATAAGTATGATGATGTGCCTAGAGTGTGTGTGTGTGTGTGTGTGTGTGTGTGTGTGTGTGTGTGTGTGTGTGTGTGTGTGTGTGTGTGTGTGTGTGTGTGTGTGTGTGTGTGTGTGTGTGTGTGTGTGTGAAGTTTCAGCTCAAAATGCCACACAGATAAAGTCTTATAACTCTCTGAAATTGACCCTTTTAGGCTTTGATCCTAATTGGGGTGTTTTGGTGACTGTCGCTTTAAATTTAAATGAGATTGTGCTCTTTTTAAAAGAGGGCGGAGCTACAAATGCATATGTGTCAGCATAGTGGCAGATTCAAAAACAAGACTGACGTCCTATGCTAACGAGGGTGAAATGGTCTCTAGTGGGCGGGGCTTTCCCCCTCTGATGACACGTGCAAAGGGAGAATGTCCATCAAAGTGTTTCTGCAGACTGTTTCTATCAAGCGTGATTATAAAAGATAGAATGAATTAATTTTTATCAGAAGCTGGACATACATTGCTAAAACTCTGTTTCAAGAGTTCACACTTAGCTGATGATTGATAAAGCGTAATTGGCATGCTGTCATAAGAGGGAGACCTGAGCTCATAATATCCTCGAGCCTAGGGCTCCCTCCCGTTAGAAGGGCAAGAGGGGAGTTCAAGCTCAGGTAGGTCTTGAGAACTCCCCCGCTTGTCAGCCTCTGGGAAGTGTATGCTAAGGTTTATCTTAGATGTTAATTTGGATAAATCAGGGGATAACCCGGGGGACACCCACACGAACACGGAGAGAACATGCAAACTCCGCACAGAAACGCCGACCGGGCCGGTAAGAGGCAGGACCAGCGGCGTTCTTGCTGTGAGGCAACAGTGCTAGCCACTGAGCTGCCGTGCCACCCTATCAGAAAAAAAGGGGGGAAGTAGGCCTGGAAGGCGGGAAAATTTCAAGACGAAGATAACTGAAAAACTTTGGGTATTTATAATGCAGCTCTAATCATCTGATTGGGCAGATTACGGAGCTAATGCGGTGCCAGCCGTGTTAATCATAAGCACGTGATCCTCTCCAAATTAGCTTATAAAAATAATGCACAAGTAGTTTATTTATAAACTAATTTCAAGAGGATCACATGTCTATGATTGCTTGCAGCCGGTCCCGCATTATTTAATTTATGATTCACCAATCAGACGATTCCTAATCCACTATAAATACCCTTAGTTCCATATCACAGCCATCTTCGTTTTGAGGAATCCCCCTTCCACCCCTACTCCTCTTCCTTTCCTAGATGGGTGGCACGGTGGCCCAGTGGTTAGCACTGTTGCCTCACAGCAAGAACGTCACTGGTTCTAGTCCTTACCAAGCCATTTGGTGTTTCTGTGTGGAGTGTACACGTTTTCCCCGGTTTCCTCCCACCGTCCAATAACATGCAACTTAGGTCAACTGACTAATCTAAATCGGCACCATAGACATGCTGCTAGTCAGTAGTTATCTCTTAAGAACAATCACTATCTGTTCACTAGCTACTACAGCAGGGGAGTTCTCCAGATCTACCTAAGCTCAAACTCCCCTCTCATCATTCAAACGGGAGGGAGCCCCGGGCTCGAGGATTTTATGAGCTCAGTGCTCTCTCCCGGGACAGCATGCCAAACAAGCTTTATTAAAATAAGTTATCAAAATAACCTTTATTAAGGAGGTTTTGGCATAATAGCTCCCCGTCTTTATAAACAAGAGAAAGAAAAGGCGTGGATGAATCCATCTGATGAATTTACTGTTCTCGCTTCATTCATAAGTCATAACAATCAGCATCAGAACATGCAGGAATTTAGCACATTATTTACATTTATGTGTGACATTTCTTTTGAAAACAGACACAGTTCGACATCAAACCCCAAGAAAACATTCACAACTTATAGATATGAGCGAGTGTCAGCCTCTGACAAACATGTAACGGTCACAAAACCGAGTGGGAAAGAAATATATATATGTTGCTTCAACTTAAATCTAAATTTTGTACTTTTAAATTTGCATTCAACCTCACCTTAAAATGTATTAAAGGTGCAGTAGGTGATTGTCTTCAGAAACTTTTGTTGTTCTGCTGGTTGAAAGTCTTTTCACAGTCCAATAGTATTGATTAAAGTAAATGATCTAAATGTATTTACAGCTGAAGTCAGAATTATTAGCTCCTCTATGAATCTTTTTTCTTTTTTTAATATTTCCCAAATGATGTTTAACAGAGCAAGGAAATTTTCACAGTATGTCTGATAATGTTTTTTCTTCTGGAGAAAGTCTTATTTGTTTTATTTCAGCTAGAATAAAAGCAGCTTTTTATTTTTAAACACTATTTTAAGGTCAATATTATTAGCCCCTTTAAGCTATATTTGTTTTCCGATAGTCTACAGAACAAACAAACTTCATACAATAACTTGCCTAATTACCCTAACCTGCCTAGTTACCCTAATTAACCTAGTTAAGCCTTTAAATGTCACTTTAAGCTGTATAGAAGTGACTTGAATATCTAGTCAAATATTATTTATATTCAGGCAATCTCGGACCGATTGTTTTGGCAAGGATCCGAGTGTGATTGCTGGATTCACATATGCCAAACGAAACAAGCTAACTGGGGAAACGCGCCAGGTTCAAAAACAAAGGTCTAGGTGTGAAAGCACCCTGAAAGAGCTGTAATGGGTGTGACAGACAAAGGAGACTTCCAAAACAGGCAGAGCTGGTGGTCCTCCAGGAACGTAGTTGAGAAACTGATCAAGTGGGTTGTCTACTGTCATCTTTAAAGGGTACCAATTGGAGCGGTTTTCAGATCGACCACAACTTGACAAAGGAGTGCAGTACCCCCGCCCACCAGTATTGATTGACAGGTGCATCACCATATCAGTTTGTTGTTACACGTCCGCCATTTGCAGCATGTGAGTCAAAGCGATATCACCTATATTTTACAGTCTATGGATGTCACTAAAGAAACACCCTTGCTCTATTTTTAGATGTAAGGCTCATTGGGCTCAACACAAGATCAATATTCTCCACATTATCGCTCTAATCGGAATTATTTTTTGTACCTTTAGGTAGGTTTGCAAACGTGTACTTTTCATTGTGTCTATCTTAAACATCTTAACTAGGTGCAGCTGGAAAAGTGCGAGCACGTTGCCTCACGTGCGCGTCTCTCCATTGGAAATAAAATAACAAACTTGCCTGCAGGTCGCACACCAGAAGCGCCGCTCTGCGCGTCACACCACACAGCGCCATGCATTTTACAATTCTAAACATAGGTTTCTATCAGGGTACACACAACGGCGCTTCAAGTTGGCGGCTGTCTGCAGCGCCCGGCCACGATTCGGGACACTTCATGTTTCTGCCGTGCCACAGAGCGCCATCTGAATAGTTTCATTTGAAAATAACATCCGAATGTGCGTGTCTGGTGTGCCGTGTTGAGGCTCTGGTGCCTTAGTCAAAGTTAATTCAGTGTATTTCAGGTTATTAGTCTCTGTCTACAAGCTCGGCACTTTAAACTAGCACACAGTTGGCTGTAAAACTTTACAAAGACACAAATGATTTTGTATTCTCTGCTTGGTCTGTGTCCGAGTCGTACATGTACGGCTGAATGCTGATCCTCTCACTCATGTTGCTTCTCTCTGTCTGCCTGTCTGTTGCAAACACAGAGTGGGGGAGCTCTTAGCTTTTGGCGGGAAGTCGAAACTAATGAAGCAACACACCCCTAAAACAGCAACCCGTGAACTGTGTTTTGAACTGAACCTAAACTGGCACACTCAAAAAAAAACATAAGGGGTAAAAAAAAAGGGGTAAACTATGTGCCCTTTAAGGTGTGTGCGTTCGTGAGGAGGTGTGGCTTTGGACGACAGGGGAGGGACTGTGTTTTAAAGATATTATGCTAACCGGTTAGCATTTACACACCTACTGCGCCTTTAAATTGTAAATTACTTTAGTTTGAAAACATATTACATTTGTAAAGTGTTTAGTGATTTACTCAAGCACAAATATCGCCTAAAAGTGTTGTGGTCAGAAAACCTTTACACGTTATTTTCAGTTTCTGAGATGTGACCGATACATGTTTATAATAGATTCCCTGATACAATGTTTTCATGCATTAAGAGTCACAGAAGCGCACGTTTTTTCAGCATGAGTGAGATATAATGTATATGATGATATGTTATGAGAAGGTCTGTACGTACACTAACAGTAAAAAGCACCAACAATAAATATACAATTACAAAATTTCTTGGATTAGATGTTTCGCGGAAGCTTGTGGCATAAATCTACATCATCTAAGTTCATTGGTGGGTTGGAGCTGACCGTTCCTGTTGCCTGGTAACGGTTTGATTGACAGTCCAGGCGACGCTCATTTGGTGGATTTGATTTTCTCCTGCTGCCTGATCATGATCTCCTCCAACTCGGAAACTCCTCGACTCTTCTGGAAAAATACAGAGAATAAAAAAATAAAGACAGAATACTGTGGCGTTTGTATTTTTCTCATAATGTCAAAGTTATATTACGGTGTAAAAAAATGCTGGGATACACACAGTCGATTTGCTTTGGAACAACATGAAGGAATTAAGTTAACTTATTAGTTTTTAAAAATGAAAGTGGATTGAACATTTAACAATTAAGTTCTCCCCCCAAAAAAAATGTTTGAAGAGTTTTGTTGTTTCGGCTCATTTT